TCTTCATCGGTCGCGGAATCCCGATCGGAAAAAATGCGCGCGATAAATCAAAACTAATGGGTCATAAGTCAAACGTCGCCTTTAATACGGCAGGGAGTAAATTTAAACTGGCCGGCTTCCACGGCTCGGACCGAGGAAATCGGGAAAGCGGTGCGGTACGGAGTCGGCTTTTATTTTCGAAGGAGGTACAAATGTTGCGGTCGGTTTTTGTGCTGACTGACAGCTTGATTTGTCATTAGGTTTTAAAAATAGGTTTAATGTGGCATTGTATTGGCAAGCGGCTCGGGTTTTTTTTGTGGTGTAACAGTAAATTTTTTTATAAAGTGTATTTTCGGTTGCTGCTCTGACAGTTCGTAACGTGTTAATGTATTTGTGACTGTACTATTGACTTAATTAGCGCCAGGCACTGACCTGGAATATTAACGTCTTGTAAATGAAACTGGTTAATAGGCGATATTAAACTTAATTCATTAGGTTATCTTTAATGCATGCATGGCTTTATCGGGACATGGTGACGTTTAATAACGACTTGATGCTTGAATTGACAGTTTGAGTGAAGACGAGACGAATAAAGGGGGTCTATTTGAACCTCAGTAAGTCACACAAGTGGTTCTGTTATTAACTATGTATTTAATAAATGATCACTAATATGCAATATGAATAATGTAGGATGTAGTTACATCCTTGCGTCAGTCCACACTGATTTAATTGTATGTGGAGAGGGCTCGTGGGGGAAATGAATAATTGTAGTATAATATGTTGCCCCCGTGCGCAAAACTAAGAAAAAAAAATTGGTCTAAAGAGTTTAGACAGTACTTCCCTCGCTGTCGGAAACTTGACGACTGCATGCCTATTGTGTTTTTTTTCTCATTACATTTTTGTAGTGGGAATTTAAAAAAAAATTGCGATGACGTCATCAACATTTTTGCAAGGACACGTATATCAGTTGGGATAGATGTAGTGTAATACTAAGAATAAAATTATTATATTCTCAAATTTTCGGAAAAATGAATTGGGTCGTTTTGAATATTGATTTGTAATAATCAATAAAATAACGAAACAATTTACTCACGTATACGTATCAGAGGCAACTGAAAATCGTGTATGTATAAACATTCTTAATTTAAGATGACAGGCGTAACAGCATACGTGAGAGCCAAACACAGACACTGTAAACAAAACGACCATCGGTTTTATTGCTTCGACTTCCGCTTATTATATAAAACATTGGGTTTTATTTTAATTCTTGACGGTGAAATTCACAATTGGTTGATTATAAACATGTCTATTTCACATTCGCGGAATCAAGTGAACGCATAAAACAAATGCAGGTCTGTAATGTTAAAGTCGATGTAAATAAGCGTGCTACCCTTATGTTTCAACCGAGTTTTTCCTTTAACAAATTTTGTGTCTACCAAATTGGGTTGGTTGGGGTGTAATACTAATAATAAGTGTTGCCTTTAATTTAATCAATAAAATAAATTGACTTCATTAATTTTTTTGAACCACCTCTTAAGAAAATCTAAAAAATATGAATGGAATGATAAATCACAAGTACAAACTCATCATATTTTTTGCATTTTAGATAGGATTTATTCAGCAAAATTTAAGGGTGACGTCATCAATTTTTTTAGGAGGGATGAACAAATACATTTTGAACAAAAGTTTACCATGCTTATAATAACTTTAAAATATTCCTAAGATTTCAAAGCATTCGGTTTTGTAATTCCTGATTAAATCGATAAAATAAATTCACGCCTTCATTAATTTTTTTGAGTCACCCTGCATATGCAAATCCAAAAATATGAATGGAATGATAAATCACAAGTACAGACTCATCATATTTGGTACATTTTAGATACGATTTATTCGGCAAACTTTTGAGCTGACGTCATCAGTTTTTTGTAGAAGATAACCAAATATATTTTGACTAAAAATTTATTATGCTCTTTATAACCTTAAAACATCTGCAAGATTTCAAAGCATTCGGTTTTGTAGTTCCTGATTAAATCAATAAAATAAATTTACGCATTCATTAATTTTTTTGAGTCACCCTGTATATGCAAATCGAAAAAATTTGAATGGAATGATAAATCACAAGAAGAGACTCACCATATTTTGTACATTTTAGATAGGATTTTTTCAGCTAAATTTTGTGGTGACATCATAAATTTTTTAGGGGGGACGACCAAATACGTTTTGATCAAAAATTTACCATGCTTATGATAATTTTAAAATGTCTTCAAGATTTCGAAGCATTCGGTTTTGTAGTTCCTGAGTAAATCAGTAAAATAAATTTACGCTTTCATTTATTTTCTTGAATCACCCTGTATATGCAAATCCAAAAAATATGAATGGAGTGATAGACCACAAGTACAGACTGATCATATTTTGTACATTTTAGATATGATTTATTCGGCAAATTTTCGAGCTGACGTCATCAAGTTTTTGGAGGGGATAAGCAAATATATTTTGACTAAACATTTATTATGCCCTTTATAACCTTAAAACATCTGCAAGATGTCAGAGCATTCCGTTTTGTAGTTCCTGATTAAATCAATAAAATATATTTACGCATTCATTAATTTTTTTGAGTCACTCTGTATATGCAAATCCAAAAAATATGAATGGAGTGATAAATGACAAGTACAGGCTCATCATATTTTGTACATTTTAGATATGATTTATTCCACAAACTTTTGAGCTGACGTCATCAAGTTTTTGGAGGGGATAAGCAAATATTTTTTGACTAAAGATTTATGATGCTCTTTATAGCCTTAAAACATCTGCAACATTTCAAAGCATTCTGGTTAGCAGATTAAAAATTAAATTTCAAAATGTTGTTTTATAATTTTGATTTTTTTTCCAAAAATCTGGACGTTTCGGGTGAAAAGTCGATTCAGAGTTGTAAACTACATGTGTAGGACTATGTTATTTTATACAATTGAAAACCCATTTACTATGTACAATTTTGAAGTGACGTCATCGCATTAGTGGTGGGGATGATTCGACAAATTTTGGTTAGCGTTTTACCATCTACATGATATTCTTAATATAAGTACAAAATTTCACAACAATCGGTCGAGTACTTTCGGAGATTATCTGTCTAATAAAAATCCGGGACAACAGACGGACAGACGGACGGACAGACAGACGGAAATGGGAGACCTATTTCTTCGTCTTCTAGGGGTCATGAAAGATCGAGAAAACGTAAAAGTAGAGAGTCGGCCGACGGACTCGATTACAATACTTCCTTTGCTTACGCTCGGGAAGTAAAAATAATCCATGGTTGTTATTTCGAGATAACTTCCCTCGTCCCTGAAGTGCATCTCAACAAAATTTTCAAGTTTAAATTTTTGAGTGAAATCCATTTTCCAATTTTTGAATTTTTCAGTTTTTAGGTTTTGCAATTTTTCTATTCCTAGAGTTTACAATTTTTAATTTTTTTTTAATTTTTGATTTGCAATTTTTCGTTTCGGTTTTTTGTTGATAGACGGAAACGGAGACCTATTTTTTCACACTCTAGGGATTATGAAACCCCAATAAAACATAAAAGTGGCCAGTCGTCCAATGGACTCGATTACAATACATCTTTAGCTTGCGCTCAAAAACCAAGCAAAAAAATTTTTAACCACTAATGTACGAACTCAGAACGTGATTAAGTTGAATAAACAAAAATTGGTCTCGAAACAGATCAACAAGCCAAACTTTTGCTTAACACACTCAAATCCCTTGTCCAAAAAAACCGAAAACAGCCCAAACAAGCGTGTTAATGACACATCCTAATCAGCCGGCCTTAATTCAGTCGTCAAGCGCTTTCCAACCCATGTTTTCCTTTTCAGCTTCGACTCAACATCCCATAATACATCGCTCCTTATTAATCTCCCTTTCCACGTTTCTCGTCCGTTTGATTTATGGTTTTCAGCATATTCGCTCCGTCCGAAAACAGCCACACGTGAAACGATTAGCATAAATATGCCGTGTTATCTCGACCTCCGAATCCGTCCGTAGCGGAACGAAACCAGGAAGAGAACAAAACAGATTTAAGAGATGAGCCATCGTCTCGATGGATTTTCGCATAGTCGGCCGACTTCAAAAACATTTTTTTCCACATCACTTCGACTCCTGTTTTGTGCGAGGGCATCGTAAATTCGCGGATTCGTCGCCTCTATTGACTGCGGTCAATCTCGACGCATAAATCGCGAAAAGGCAACGGTAAAAGCGTCGAGGATTTTTGGCATTCTTGGGCGCTTCGGTGGGTCGGTCCAGTTCATCTCGGTTAAGACGGAAGAGTTTTCTTTCGGGTAATAGAGGCAAGTTTTGATGGATGTTCGCGATTCCTCGCTTTTCGATATTGCAGCACAAAATAAAGGTGTAATCTCGGAACGCTTAAGTGGATTTGACTCGTAATGGGGGTATTAGCACCAATAATAAAGTGCTAAGTGGTTTACAGCCACATTTACGTGTAAGTATTCCTTGACCTATGACCGGATTTCGAATATTATTGCAACTGGTGACTGGGTTCTGCAACGAAAAAAGGTAGGCGAGATATGGGCACCTCCCAGCAGTTTATTACAGTTAATAAAACCGATTTCAATTAACTTTTTATTAATAATAAAAACATCAGCGTTTAGTATTCGCTTGGGTTTTTACTGAGAAAGTAAATTAAACTTGTTACGCAAGTTTCCTTATCTACGAGGACTGTTAATTCTCGGTACGTGGAAATTGATTAAAATCGAGCATTGCACGATTGTGTTATAACTGTAAGCTAACCTAAGGTGAGGTTCCGATCTTGGGTTTGAAACGTGGAGATTGAAGGCGAGCTGCATTTTTGGATTCTACGAGCTGTGAAACGCAAAAACAATCTGAATGGAAGTAGATAGGTATCTGGAATGCGTACAACTTAATTTGTCATGTCAAATTAATCAACGCAATATTAATTGAACGAAGATAAGAATACCTTTTTTAGTTGTTTATGATTAATTTATTTCCACAATTAATACAATAAATCAGCTATTAGGTCAATGAATAATACTTGTATCATTTATTGACTTGTCATTCTACGTGTAAAACTTGCGAAATAAAAATAAACTACATTAAATGTTGGAAATGTTGTTCATTTTGTTGCAGGGAAGAATCTCTTCGTTTAACACATGTCTCAACACCTCGGCATTCTTGTATATGTCGTTAATTTCTTCTGTTATTCTCAACCTTAATTGCTCCAAATTGTTGACAGGTGTTCGATGAAGAGCCTTCTTCAAACGGGGCCACAAAACGAGTCTGCTCCATTACCTGTCTAACATTTCCATTATTTTCTGGAGTTCTCTCACCATTACCTGCGACTTACCTCTTTTTTTTTTTTGCAGACACGAGGTTTCTCCGAAGTTTAACCACACATCACTGAAGTGAGCTGCCGAAATGGGCCTAGTCCACGATGTTGTAGAAAAATTCTTCCCGGAATGTTGGTCTTCTGTCCCTTTCGAAAATACGACTGAATTATAAATGCTTCCTGTGAGTGAATATGCAAAGCCGTAAGTGAAGCCCTGAAATGAAGGGTTTTTAATGTAAAGATGATTTCTCCAGGAGGAAAAAAACAAGCAATAAAACAACACGTAAAATTAGACAGTTGTTAGATCACCGCGAAATTGAGTCTAATATATCGACGTGAAACTTAAAACAAAGCTAAAAGACAGTTTATAAGGATTTTCATCTTAATTTAATTTAATTTCCGCACGGCACGGCTCAATTCAATTTAGATTTAATTTTAAATTTTAATTATATTAATTTATAATTCAATTTAAGTTAATTTACGTTAATTCAAGTTAATTTACCTTAATTTAATTTAATTTACGTTAATTTAATTTAAGTTAATTTAATTTACGTTAATTTAATTTACGTTAATTTAATTTACGTTAATTTAATTTAATTCAATTTAAGTTAATTCAATTTAATTTACGTTAATTTAATTTACGTTAATTTAATTTAAGTTAATTCAATTTAATTTACGTTAATTTAATTTAAGTTAATTCAATTTAATTTACGTTAATTTAATTTAAGTTAATTTAATTTAATTTACGTTAATTTAAGTTGATTTACGCTAAGTTAATTTATTTTCTAATTCGATTTAATTTCGAATTTAATTTAAAGCCGATTGATTTTTGTGGAGTAATTTAAAATGTCACAATTTGGTCGATTTGAAGAACCGAATTCTAACAGAAATGTGCAATTTCACTCCAGTTAAATAATTACTGGATGGCGGTTTGGACATTTACTGTAGGTTTGTTTTTTACTGTAGAATTCCAATAAATATTGCCAATAAATCGAAGTTGTATTTTTCAATATTAATCGAATTTTTAGCCCCCCCCCCAATACTTATGTGAGATACCAATTTGTTTCATTTAACATAATGAAAAGATTGATCAAAAATTAGAAAAAAATTGCAATTAAAAAAATCGTTGATGACGTCACTGTGCAAAAATGGCTGTTTGCAAAAACTTGACTTTTACTTCAAAGTGTCGTTTTAAAAAGTAAAATTGCACTGTCCAAGGATTTTTCAAGACCCGACACGACCTGACATAACATAACATGACATGACATGACTTAACTTGCCATGACTTGACATGACATGACTCGACCTGACATGACTTGACACATGACTTGACACGACATGACTTGCCATGACATGACTTACTTGACATGAGCTGGCGTCGCATGACTGGACATAACCTGGTTTGACATGACCTGGTTTGATATCACCTGGCTTGACATGATCGGACTTGATCTGACCTAAGTTTACCTGACCTGATAGAAAAACTTGATTGTCTTAGGTCCTGAATTCCTGATATTTTGAACCAGTTTTCGCTGAAACTCGAAATTTTTCGATTTTTCGAATATTAAATTCACATACAGGGTGTTTCTTTTATTTGATTCAACCCCTGTAACTTTTTTATTCTTGAAGATAAACCCGTGGTTCTTTAACCAAATTTGTATCATTCTCAAAGATTTATATGATGGTAAGCACACATTTTTATTATCACTGGCGGTAGAACCGGAAATGACGTCAACTTATTTTTTTTTAATGGAACACTAGATATATTTTTTCATAAATGGAAAGATTGATTTTTTCACTACAAAAAATCACAAGCAACCAATATTCTAAAATCAATAATAAAAAAGTTATTTAGTAAAATATCTCCAAAATTTTCCGTTTATTTCAAAATCTAGTTGCTTGAAAAACAATTGAAAAATTGTTGTCATCACTAGATCTTTTAAAATGATACAAATTTGCTCAAAGAACTACAGATTTATCTTTAAAAATTAAAAATTTACAGGGGTTGTATCAAATAAAAGAAACACCCGGTATATTGAAGCAGAAATTTTAGAAATTTGTAAAATCGTGTAAAACTGAATCAAAAGATTGACAAATCTAATAATTGTAAGACTAAAAAATTGCAAGTCGAGAAATTTAAAGAGTTAAAAATTGAAAAAGCTAAAAATGGCAAAATTGAAAGCTCGAAATCTCAAGTATCAAAAAAATTTCACAGAAACTTGAAGAATTGGAGACTGAAAAACCGAAAGACTGCAAAATTCAGAAGTTGAATAATTGAAAAATTGAGAAATCGAGAAAATAGAAAAATTAAAAAAATTGAAAAATCTAACAACCGTAAAATTGAAAAATTCAAAAATTGAAAAATCGAAATGTTAAAAAATTAAAAGTAGAAAAATTGCAGAATTGGAAAATTGTAGAAATAAAAAAGTCTAAAAATTGTAAAATTAAAAAATGGAAAGTTTAAAAAAATTTTAAATCGAAGCATCGTAAAATTTAAAAATTGCATTTCAGAAATCAAAAGTCGAAAATTCGAAAAAGTAGCAATTCGGAAGTTGAAAAAAAAACGATTATCTAATTTTTCAATTTTTCGGTTCCAAATAATAATAAATTAAAAAATCCAAGAAGTAATAAGTTATAAAACTATAAATAGACAACTTAATTAAAATATTATTTCAATTCTAAAAATCCGAAGCGACAAAATCCAAAAAAAAAAGAAACAAGCTGATAATTACAAAAATCCTAAAGAAAAAAATCCGACAATTCCAAAATATTGAAAAATATGTAAGAAAATCCAAAAAACTGCAATACGTAACACCAAAAATCCAAAGAAGTTGAAAAATTGGATCATTGAGAAATCGGAAAATAGAAAAATTCTAAAATTGAATAATCAAACAACCGTAAAATTGAAAATTTCAAAAACTGAAAAATCGAAATGTTAAAAAATTAAAAGTAGAAAAATTGCAGAATTGAAAAATTGTACAAATAAAAGTTTAAAAATTGTGAAATTAAAAAATGGAAACTTTAAAAAAATTTTAAATCGAAGAATCGTAAAATTTAAAAATTGCATTTCAGAAATCAAAAGTCGAAAGTTCGAAAAAGTAGCAATTCGGAAGTTGAAAAAACGATTATCTAATTTTTCAATTTTTCGGTTCCAAATACTAATAAATTAAAAAATCCAACAAGTAATAAGTTATAAAACTATAAATAGACAACTTAATTAAAAGATTATTTCAATTCTAAAAATCCAAAGCGACAAAATCCAAAAAAAAAAGAAACAAGCTGATAATTACAAAAATCCTAAAGAAAAAAATCCGACAATTCCAAAATATTAAAAAATATGTAAGAAAATCCAAAAAACTGCAATACGTAACACCAAAAATCCGAAGAAGTTCAAAAATTGGATCATTGAGAAATCGGAAAATAGAAAAATTCTAAAATTGAATAAGTAATCAAACAACCGTAAAATTGAAAAATTCAAAAATTGAAAAATCGAAATGTTAAAAAATTAAAAGTAGAAAAATTGCAGAATTTGAAAATTGTAGAAATAAAAAAGTCTAAAAATTCTAAAATTAAAAAATGGAAACTTTAAAAAAATTTTAAATCGAAGAATCGTAAAATTTAAAAATTGCATTTCAGAAATCAAAAGTCGAAAGTTCGAAAAAGTAGCAATTCGGAAGTTGAAAAAACGATTATCTAATTTTTCAATTTTTCGGTTCCAAATACTAATAAATTAAAAAATCCAACAAGTAATAAGTTATAAAACTATAAATAGACAACTTAATTAAGAGATTATTTCAATTCTAAAAATCCAAAGCGACAAAATCCAAAAAAAAAAAAGAAAAAAGCTGATAATTACAAAAATCCTAAAGAAAAAAATCCGACAATTCCAAAATATTAAAAAATATGTAAGAAAATCCAAAAAACTGCAATACGTAACACCAAAAATCCGAAGAAGTTGAAAAATTGGCTCATTGAGAAATCGGAAAATAGAAAAATTCTAAAATTGAATAAGTAATCAAACAACCGTAAAATTGAAAAATTCAAAAATTGAAAAATCGAAATGTTAAAAAATTAAAAGTAGAAAAATTGCAGAATTTGAAAATTGTAGAAATAAAAAAGTCTAAAAATTGTAAAATTAAAAAATGGAAACTTTAAAAAAATTTTAAATCGAAGAATCGTAAAATTTAAAAATTGCATTTCAGAAATCAAAAGTCGAAAATTCGAAAAAGTAGCAATTCGGAAGTTGGAAAAACGATTATCTAATTTTTCAATTTTTCGATTCCAAACACTAATAACTTATAACATCCAACATCGACAAATTCATTAAAAAATAATTGCAATATGTAATTCCAAAAATCCAAAAAACCGAAAAAATCTAATAATTCTAATAATCCAAAAAAAATCCAAAACAACAATATCCAAAAAATCCAGAATCTACGAAATCCAATAATTCTAAAAATCCAAGGCTACAAATTCCAAAAATCCTTAACGAAAAAAATCCAACAATTCCAAAATACTAAAAAATCCAAAAACTCCAAAAGAATCCAATTCCAAAATTGAAAACTCGAAAAATTAAAAAACTGCTCTTCAAGAACTTGAAGAACTGAAAACTGAAAAGCTGAAAAACTGCAAAATTCAGAAGTGGAAAAATCGAAAAATTCCAAAATTGAAAAGGTCAGTATATCATCTTTCTCAATATTTTTTCTTCTTTTGTCAATTTTCTACAACTTATAAGGTTAGAGCCACGTGCAAATATTATATATTGATAGCACGAAATCAACATTATCATTATCATTGAGATGTACCGATGCCGCCGCTGAGGAAGCACGTATTTATTTATAATAAACAATTCTTAGAAGTGCCTAACACAGTCCGAACCGTCAAGATCGTTCTAAGACAACTTTTTACTAATCGTTCGACATGAGCAAATTTTAAGCGAACTTGTAAAATGATCGAGTTTAAAAACGAAAACCTCGTCCTTTAACACCTTCCGCTCCCCTGCTCCTTCTTAGCGCCACCACTGCAGCAATATCAACCCTCTGTTATTGCCTCTGGCCAGGGTATAAGTGCTATATCATAATTTAATTTCGGGTTTGCACACGCAGGACGTAAATTACCGGAAATTGTGGAGCTTAATGTGGAGACTCGGTCACAAGAGTCAACAGTATTAAAGCTCAGAGGTGTGGTATTTGTAAAGTTGTCGAGCAAACACGCGTTGTCGATTTTGTGTTGTGGTCTCGACGGTAATAGGGGACGCAGTGTGGGTAGTTGGCGAACTTTTCCACATAATTTCCCAACTTTTAATCAATCAATCAGGAAAACTTGGCTCGGGAGATGGAATTTTAAATTTTCCGAATAATAACTTGCGGGACAAGGCGTTCGTTCGTTCGGCGCTCGCTATACCGG